TTAGTTCAGTAGATGTTCATTAGTTTAGTAGATGTTCTTTAGTTTAGACCAGGGGGGGGGCAATTATTTTTCCCAAGGGGCCACATGAGGAACAGGGACTGTTGTGGAGGGCCGGACCAATAGACTGAACTCAATCCTGCTCAAAATTACTCCACCTCTTTATAAAAAGCAATACATTGTATGGTTTTGATAAACTGTGAGTGGTAAGAGTAAATATTATGATCAGTGGTGGAATGTAACTCAGTATATTTGCTTAAGTACTGTACTTATGTACAAATTCAAGGTACTTTACTTGAGTATTTATATTTTATTTAACTTTGTACTTCTACTCCACTACATCTCAGAGGGAAATATTGTACTTTTTACTCCACTACATTAGTCTGGCAGCTTTAGTTACTAGTTACTTTGCACAATATCATTTTTCAAACCTTTCCTAACTCCCCAAACTGAACAACAGAGTATAAAGGAGTTAAAATGAGCTCCACCTAAAACATCAGCAGCAGGAATAATCCAAACAACATATACAGTACATTTGTAATATCCATATATAATAGGAAAACACTGACGGGGATCATGTTTTTGCAAAATGAGTACTTTTATTAGTATAACTATTATTATACAAATGACCTCTTTCTGTTTTTCAGTTCAGTGCGAGAAATCTAGTCTGTGTTGGGCTTGAACGAGTGACTGAAGTCAGGCTGAATGTGTGAGGTGAGATGTGAAGGACAGCTGACAGGTGATGTCAGTGAGAGAGGATCTGGATCTGGATTTGTTCAACTTCATCACAGAGAATATTTGTTCACCGATGTAGGTCGATCCAAAGAGAACCAACATCTTCTGAGCATGCCTCCTCATGTGTGGAAAGTTCTCCTCTTTGAGAGAAGAATACAAATCCAGCAGTGATACTGATTTAAAGTGCTCTGTCAGTACTGCATCAGACTGCAGGTCAATGAGTTGGAGCTGAACATCACTGGGAGCATTATCCACACTGCACGTGAAGGAGAAGACATCATGTTTCACTCTCAACTGTTTTGAAGTCTTGAAATGGCCTTAAACTCACCATGCAGTGCCCCTAACATGGATGAGTACCTGTGGAGGTGTTCAACTGATGGTGTGGCTTCTTTCAGGGTGTGCAGGTGGGTGAGAGTGTTACCTGCATCTGGCTTGAAAGAAACTGCAACTTTGTCATGAAAGCCTTCACCAGGCTGTACATGTCATGTGCAAAGAGGCCCTTGCCTTGCAGTTTGGTATTCAGATCATTCATTAGTGCAGTCACATCAACAGCAAATGCAAACTCTGTCATCCAGCTTACATCAGAGAGCTCTGGGATGTTCTTGCCTTTCTTCTCACAGAGCTCTTGAATCTCTGCTCTCAGGTCCTGAACTCTTTGAAGCACTTTGCCCAGGCTGAGCCACTGACAGCTGTGTGTTAGCCTCTGTCACTGTGTTCAGTCTCATGCTGCTCCAAGAGTGCAACACACTGTCTGTGATTCAATGCTCGTGCCCTGATGACATTAACTACTTTAGTTACAACATCAATAACATGGTTAAGTTTGAGCACTGACTTACACAACACATTCTGATGTATAATACAATGCAAAAATACCAAGTTCCGTTCTGAGTTGATTTCAGTCACTTTATCTTGCATCCGCTTTAAAAGTCCGACATTTTTCCCCGTCACATTTTTTGGACAACCATCGGTTGTGACACATGCCAGTTTGTCCCATTTCAGTCCCAGCTTGTGGAAGCATGTATTTACCTCCGTGAACAGATCACTCCCCGCCGTCCCTTTCATTGACTGCATTGCTGCAGCTCCACTGTAATCACCAAGTCTTTCGTTATCCCACGTACAAAGATGAGTAACTGGGCTGTGTCGCGGACATCGCAGCTCTTGTCCAGAGCCAAGGAGAAAAGTTCGAAATTGTCTGCTTTTTTTTGCAGCTGAAGCTCCAGATGTCCCTCGATGTCCTCGATCCTCCACGTTACGGTACGCCTGGAGAGCTGCACATTCTCCAATGCGTCTTTTTTCTGGGGGCATAGTAGTGCAACAGAGTCCACCAAACACTCTTTGATAAACTCCCCATCAGAGAATGGCTTACTGTTTTTTGCAATTTTGTGTGATATCACAAAGCTGGTGTTGGCGGCTGCATCCCTGGATGTGTGAAGCTTGGTAAAAAGGCCTTCTTGCTTTTGCAGCTTAGCTAGCAAAGCCTCAGACGTCCGTGTCCGCTCTGCATCCGTCAATGTTTCGTATTTCTCCACGTGTTTCGTCTCATAATGACGATTGAAATTGTAATCCTTCAACACTGCGACTTGTTCTCCACAAACTAAGCACACGGCTTTACCTTTGACTTCAGTAAAACAACACTTTAAAGTCCATATTTTGTTAAAAACTCTACACTCTGTGTCAGTCTCTTTTTTTAACACAGGCTGACATTTTTGAGGGCGAACAGCTAACTCACATCTCCCGTAAACTCAGTTCGCCAACACATTGCAGTGACGCTGCAGCTCACATACGTTCATTAACATACGTAAATTGAGAAAAAAGAAAAAAAGAAAGTCGTTGTTTAGTTTAGACGATGTTGTTTAGTTTAGTAGATGTTCATTAGTTTAGTAGATGTTCATTAGTTTAGTAGATGTTGTTTAGTTTAG